CCTCGGGAACTAAACTGGGCCGCAGCCAGCCGGCGGTGAGCTGCGTCTGTTTCTTCAGAAGCAGCAGATAGGAAGCTTGCTCTTTAAATGCCTGCTGATGGGAAAGCCACCAGCGTGGGTTTATGCTCTTACCCATCCCCGAGGCTTTCAAGCTCTTCTGTCTTTTCTGTTCTCTGCGCTTATCTGCACAATACCCGGTGTCGCTGATGGGGAACTGACACCGGGGGGTGAAGGAACTGCTGCGGCTCTCGCAGGACTCAAGGGGAAGAGGGAATTGAAGCTGTCTTGGGAGTGGGACCTGATTTCAACTTCCCCTTCAAGGGCCTGATTCTCTTCTTTTACTCGTTGTGAGTTTCTGTCTTAACTGAAGGCAGGTGGAGAAGGTCAGGCTTTGAAGGCCACCTTTGCTGCTCAGTGCTGTCAGTCTGCTCCTGCATCCCTTGCTCAAGCTGATTTTCCTGATATCCTAGGGAGATTTTTGAAATGTTAATTAGCCCCAGGAGATACTGGGGTAGGAGTACCCAGAGCAAAAAGCACCCGGAGCAAAAAGCACCCTCTGCTCAGCAGGAAGACTTCTCTTCCATCTCCCAAGACTTCTTTCTGCAAACCGCTTGAAAAGTCTGTGCTCAAAGAGCACAACATCCTGTTGTGCATGTTTACAGCTTCCTCCCGTGAGCAGGTTTTGTAATCTAGACCTGAAATATGCTTTGCCAGCATAGGCTGTGAAAAGTTAGTGTGAATCTTTTTGCAAAAGTTCTGCTGGTTTCATCTTCATTGCCTTCTCTCTCTTTTCTGAGGCACCTGCTCCCTTGGAGAGGTGCTGGGTGTGACGGGACATGGATGAGGCTGTAATCCCTTTGCTGAGTGTCCATGAGTCCCGGCTGTGTGTGTGTGCATTGAGGCTGGAGCAGGTTTTCAGGCAATTGCTGTGCTTGGGGCAGTGCTAGGGACCTGCAGCAAAAACCCCAGCTTTTTCTGGTCACCTCTCTTGGTGGATGCCTGGATGGCTGCTTTCCCCTGGACCCAGCTGTGCTGGTGGGAGTGAATACTGCTGCTGGCCCCAGATCAACTCCTGCAAGTGGTCTGGGATGTCTCCTCGCCTGACTCCTGCCACCACCCCAGACAGGGCAGGAGCACTGTGAAGAGCCTCCCCAGGGACATGGGGGCA